CCCTTTGTTTTTTAAAACATTCCTTGACCGAGTTGCCAAATGACCCTCAGCAAAATAAAAAATCAACTCCATACAATGACGCACACAAAGAAGATAGTGCGGAGCAGCCCTACATTGTTAAAAGCAAGTTGTCTGGACATGAAATTGGAGCGCACCTGTTGCCACAAACTACTGCTCTGTTTCTGGGTGACCCTGAAGAACTTCCTATGTTTCCGGGGGAAGCTCCTTCGTGTTAAACTTAAATGTTTTGTCAACGACCTATTAAGATTTGTTATCTTTTACAAAACTGTTTACGACACTCAAATGTAGATTTCGCTTGTCAAACATTTTGCCACTTAGTTACCTCAGAATTACAAAGTTCTACCAGTCCTGTACCTTTCTTGTACATTAGAAATTTGACGTCAAATATTTTGAGTTTCACATCATGCTAATATTTTTAGAATGAGAAGCTTTGAATGTCTTGTTAACGACTTCGAATACTCGTATGATTTTGATAGAGCAGATAGAGGATTTGGTTTTTGATCTCGTGGTCTTAGTAACTCAAAACGACCAAGATGTTCAGATAGAACTTTGTAATTCTGACGTAGCGACTTGTTAACCAATATGTTCACTTTATGTTTACTGGTAGACTGATTTTAAATATATAACCCGTTTTTTTGTCATGTCAGATACTTTAGTAGTTGAACACTTATTTTAAAAAGACACATTTTGAGAAATAGTTAAAATTGTCTAAGACGGCCACCCATTGTCTCGGAGAAAAGTGGTTATCTTAGATAGGAGGGCGTCTCACACAGTGTCATTGAAATGTTTTTAAAAAAAGAAATACGCTCGGGAGGAAACGACAAGCACCTTTTGTACGATTGATTTGTTGGATCCAGGTGGCCGTTAAAGCAGGTTCGACTGTAAAATATGCAGTTTGTCTTATAGAATATATGTGGCAAATTTTCTCCAGATGCTCAGCTCAAGAAGCTGACCAAAACAAAAACAAAAAACAAAAACAAAAAAAACTTGCATATAAATATTTCTAATGTAAAATAAGTGCAAACACTAAATCAATAGAAAATAGATACATAAAAATAAGAAAGAGAAAATGAAAGTTGAATAGACACACTTTGAGAAAACCCAAAACCTTCAGTACCCACTGAGCCTTAAAATGGAAGCTACAAGGAAAGAGAATGAAAAATTACTTGGAGAAGGGAATTAGATTGCGACCTAAAAGCGACAGGATACCGCTAGACAGAGGTGGAGACAGTTGTCCAAGAGAGGGGTACACGGTGAGCTCTTGTTGGTGGTCTGCATCACCATAATATGAACTGCACGACTTGCTCTTCTGGATTATTAGAGTGGTCTATCATAGTCTATGGTCAACATGAAAACTGACTTTCTGTGTACGTATGAACAGGGGCAAACATACAGATAATCACACTAACTTTTACTTTTGCGTGATGGAAATGTTGACTTCTCAAAGATGCAATTCGAATATTGTATACCCATACATATTGATCAGTGTTTTTTGTTGGTTTTTGGTGGGTTTGTTTTTGGGGGTTTTTTAAGGGTTTTTTTGCTGTCTCCGTTGTAGATTACGTAAAATATGCATGGTACAAGTTGTTATGCTTCAAGGAAAACAAAACAATAAAAGGGGGATGCGATGATGATGATGATGATGATGGTGATGATGATGATGATGATGATGATGATGATGATGATGAT